ATTTTTTAGTTTTGATGTAGTCGTGTTTATCTATTTTTTTCTTTGGTTGCCAGTGCTTTTGGTGTCATATACGAGAATAAACCTGTTTTGTTTTGAATGAAGGCCAAAGTCCTTATGTAATCACTGCAGGTCATTTTCCAAAGTTCACGAGGCTATTTTTGGAATACCGGGACTAAATAAATAGTCGCTAGCCGTTTGTGTCTCACGAAACTATCAGCATTAGAATATTTACAGTTGAATGCATGTATCTTTTGCCATAAACGCATTCATGTAGCTGGCTACAATTTTGATCTTTGAAAATAAAGTTTCTAGCCCCCCCCCCCATGCTCATTTCAGGCAAAAGCTTGATCCTAATTAGGTGAACCTTCTGGAGTCAGCAGATAATGGATGAGAAATGAGCATGCCACTGAAATCAGTGGGACCTACTTCAGAGAGGCTGTTATGGTTCAGGCTCTGTCACCGCTTAAGCGATTGTGTAACCTCAGAGAAGCAGCAGCAGCCCCAGAGGTGTGGCGGGAGGGAGACCCTCCCTGCAAGGCCTTCTGAGAAGCCGTGGCTTGCAGTGGGAGCAGGGAAGAGGCACACAGGGGCCCAGTGGCCTCATCATGGGTACTGCGAGCCAAGTGCCATCAGTTGCTCTGTGACCTTGCCAGGCTCCTCTGCCACCCTGACAGCTGTGGCCCATCAGGCTGGAAGAATCATGTCACTAAACTGCTGTGATGCTAACAGATGCATCCTGCACAGAAGGAAAAGTCAGCCCACGAGTCTTTCTCTGATTCCTAATAACATGGGCCTCTTATTGCTGATTATAATTAGAGTTCTTGCCTCTCCATCCAGCCGGGTCAGGCCACTGGGCACCAGCTTTGAGACCCGGGCCAGGCCATTGGATGAAGGCAGGCGCGCTGCCCAGCAAATGGGTAGGGTGCTGTCATGTAGCTGTGACCACGTCCCACTGCCCCTCAGCACAGCGAGCAGGGACTGGCGCTCCTCGCCCTGCGGCACGGCATGGCGTGCATAGGAAATCACATCAAAACGCAGCAGAAACAAGTCGGAGGAAACCAGGATCACGGGGAAAGATGGAAAGGGGTTGTCAGCTTCATGGATACAGTTTCGCATTATTTTACTTGGTGCCACTAAGATGAAGATGCTCATTTCAGTCACCTAGTTTTTGTTCATTGATTAAAACTAGCAACACACTGTCCTAAAAAAAAAAAAAAAAACTATTGAAATAAGTTATTCCTAAGCACTGGAAGTTTGGAATAAGCAAGAGCCGGGAGCAAGAATCCAGGCAATAGTAGCTTTGCCGCAGGAAGGGGCCTGTCCCGGTGCGGGGGTGGGGGGCTCCCAGAGGTGGGGAAGGGGGAGAGCCGTCCCGCCCATGAATATGAAAAGTTTAAACAATGAGATGTAAACAACAGGCTAGAAGCAGAAGTTTAGCCGAGTCAATCAGACAAAAGTGTCTCCTGTGAGTCAGAAGAGAGGCAGGATTCTTTCAGGGTGGGCCCCAGGAGGGGCTGGGGAACAGCAGTGCGATGCTCACATCCTCTGCAAAGAGTGATGCTAAAAAAAAAACAAAAAAACTCCATGCCAAGTGAGTGTCCAAGGAGAGTGCTGGATTATCTCCCAGAGAGCCGTCCACACTCATCCTCAACTGGACTGACTTCCAGAGGTCGTGTTTCCCCCACTGTTCAAAGTAAATCACCGGCTCTTCCCCGACTCCAAGACCGAGACCCCGGCAGAGACCGCCAACCGCTGGCTCAGTACCGGGACAGCAGCGGATCCTGCACCGAGGGGGGTGGGGATGGTATGTGGTGACGACTCGTGGGTACCTCGTACCTCTTATATCCTGGCTCTGGGCTCACACGAGGGCCACGTCTGCTGTACTCCTCAGCGTGCGCCTGCGTCGTGCCAGGGCGGCACCCAGGAGCCGCGCAACTGTATGGGGGCTGTTAGATGCTTCTCCGCAGCACAGCAGTGTGGCTTACGGACTATTGTCGGTTCTGGCTGGTCAGCATCCTCGGGGACCCAGTTGTCTGATATGTGACTCTCGTCCATCTCTCGTGGCCTTGTCCCTACCACTCAAGGTCTGACCTTCTGTGGGTCCCAACTTCATGCGCCTGGTGTTTTCCAGTGGGGATGGTGCCTCGTACTGCGGCTCCTCCGTCCCTTAATCACCTGCTAAGGGCCAGGCACCCGTGGAGGGTGCCCCCTGGTCCTTCCTGAGGGTCTGCAAGCACCTGGGGACAGCTCAGACCAGACTAGGTCATGGTCTTACCTAGTGGCTGGGGCCGCCTGGCTTCCATTCTCATAGCTGATCCCTGACCTTACCAGCTGCAGTCATGGCCCAGGGTTGAGGTCTGCAGCCCTGTGCCAGGGCAGGGTCGCTTCTGTGGCAGCCAACACCTTCTGCTGAGGCCTACTGACCCCCCGGCCTGCTAGCCGCCCCAACACAGGGTGAGCCTTTTCCTGGGCATGGTTGCTGGTGACACCCACGCCCCCAGGTGATACCATGCTCACAGAGTCAAAGGCTTAGTCCCTGGCTGCCAGGCCAACCCCACGTGCTGGCCCTGACACCAGGCCCACGTTCTGCAGGAAGGTCCCCACCCCTCCGAGGTGTAAACACAGGCCCTGCATATCAGCTCATGACTGGGAATGAGCAGCTCTCTCATCTGTAGAACATGGGACAGAGGTGGGTGGCTCATATGCATAGGCAGTGAGTAGTGTCTGGGACATCTGTCCCCAGCCAACCTGTGAGGACAAACAGCCGAGCCCCTGGCCTCGCTCCATGCCTCTTAGGCAATGCTCAGTGCTGAGGACACAGTGCTGCAGGTGTGACAGGTGTGGGGACAAAGGCACCCGAAAGGCCTGGGCTTTCTCCCCAGTAACAGGCCCCCAGGGGTGCTGGGCTGCGTGCCGCCTCGTGCAGGGCCAGACTGACTCGCTCCTTGTCTCTTAACGCACATGTGAATCAGCGTTGCTGTCACCCGTGTGCACATATGAACCTTTCCTTGGCCCCAGCCCTGCTGTGTAACTTGCTGATGGCCACGCAGCTTGTCTCCCGCAGGAGGCCGTGTGCTGAGCCTGCTTTCCCTGGGAGCCCCTTCGAACAGCACCTCCTCCTCTCTCCCCCCGCCTGGCACTGGCAGCCCTGACTTTCTGTGTGTGTCGTCTGCGCTCAGTAGAGAAATACGCAGATGCCCCAAGAGCAGGCTTTGCCGTGTCACTGCAGTTTCCCCAGTGCCCGGCTCAGAGCAGGTGCTCGGTGGCTCGGATGGATGGATGAGGATGACTTGTGGGTCAAGAACCCTGGCCACCCCCCACACCCCTTGTGGCCTGAGGACAGGAAACCTCCATCCCTGGACAGGAACAAGGCTCAACCCCAGATGAAAGGTGTGGCCACCAGGCAGAGTCATCTTAGTGGTGGTTGATATTGCCTAGAAACCGAGATGTCTCGCCTCGGGTTCAAATTTTTTTAAAGGAAAAAAAAAACCTGCACAGGCCTGCAGGCTCCCACACGGAGCGACTGCAGGGGTCAGGGTGAACTTGGTCCCAAGCACCTCCGCGGGGGCACGGGACGGTGCCAGCCTGACGGAAGGGCACGGCGCCCGACAGGCGGCACCACACCTGGAGAGCTGCACCCAGAGTGGCTCTAGCTTCGACTGGAAAGGCAGAAAACAAGGTTCTCCCATTCCTCATTTTGTCAAAGGGGGACCCGAGAGCCAAGTTCCACAAAGACGGCACAGAGCAGGTTTTGCAAACTGCATCCTGCAGAGGAAAATGGTGTTTTATGGTGGAAGGAGTTTGAGAAGGACAGAATTAAAGAGGTTTTGCCCCAGCAGTACTTCTCAACCACTTGAATTATTGACATCTGTTTGGCACTTGCTCCATGTGGGTGAAGTTTAAAGCACTTGACTGGGTCACTCGCTCAGTCCTCTGAGGCTCACAGGCTATTGTCATCCCCACTGAACAGATGAGGAAACTGAGGCATAGCTTTCACAAGGTGAACATGGCCATGTGCCAGAGGGTGGTGCTGTTTCTCAGCTTCCTTGACCTGTAGACGGGGTCAGTTATTAAATCTCACAATCCTTAGAACCTGCTTCGGGGAATATCAATTCAGGCTGAGGACCTAACACAGGCACAGACAGAAGCAATCTCACCGGATCCACTGTACTAAGAGTATAGATTTATTTCATGGCAGGTAATATTAATATTGTCTGCCGCAAATGCACTGGGAAGTGACAAAAGTCATTTTCCCATAATGGGGTTTGGAATTAACTAAAAAATTAGAGTACATTTTTTCTGCTTTGAAACCAGGTTCCTTGTAGATGGAATGGCAACTAGTAATGCTGCACAGCGTTCATGGTTTTTTTGTGTGTTTAACTTACAGAATGGGGAGCTGTTCAGGTGCAGGGGGTAGGAAAGGTTCTTGGGTCACAGAGTAGGGAAAATGGGCTGGAGGGACAACCCCGAACTTAGCCTTGATGCTTTTCATGCTCTCAAATCAGCCTGAAAGAGAAAGCAGCTGAGGAGTCCCAGTCTTGCCCCCAGCAGGGCAGGAAGCCTGAAGGAGGGAAAGAGGTGGGGGCCGCAGGTGGAAGCACTGGCCACAGTGCCCCCCCTCCATGCCCTTCTGGGCATCTGCCACCGGACACCCTGAACAGCCAGTCTCCTCCGTGCAAAGAGACCAATTCACACATTTAGAGCAGTTCAGCAACCCAGGCTCTATTAACATTGTTACTGTCCCTGTTGCCTCTGATCCATTCAGCGTTCAAGAACCACACAGCTCTGGCTGAATCTATTTTGCACAACAGGCATGTTCCCTGACAGGTGACATGAACACTTTCCTCCCCCAACACAGAGCACTTGGCTAGATGAATTATGACACAGGTTCCCGGTGGGCTTCCTGAATGTGGCTCTTTGAGTTCACACCAGAGTTAGGACACGATGGGTCCAGGGACAGAAATGAGGCCCCCATGTCATGTCCCTTCTGTGTCTTGCAGCTGGTGAGTGACCTCTTGGAATTTTGCTTCTACACCTTCCGAGAGTCCCAGGCCTTGAAGGTGGAGTTCCCGGCCATGCTGGTGGAGATCATCAGCGACCAGCTGCCCAAGGTGGAATCCGGGAACGCCAAGCCGCTGTACTTTCACCGGAAGTGACAGAAGACGTCTTGCCAGAAGAACTTTGCCTTAAGTTTCCCCGAGTTATTCCACACCCACGAAGGACCCAAGAAATCAGATTTTTTTAACATGTGATGGTTGATTCCCACTTGTGCAGCAGTTTCTCAAGTTTAAAATCATGTCGGGGGTTTGGAGCTGGGAAAGCTGTTTCACCACGTGGAACGTGACAAGACCCGAGCAGTCTAAAAGGATTCTTCCCTCTCCAGTCCCCAGTGCTTAGAAACATGTTCCTGTTCCTCTGGATGAAAAGCCATATCTAGTCAATAACTCTCTGATTTTGATATTTTAACAGATGGAAGTTTTAACTATGCCATGTAGTTTCTGGTATCGTTCGCTTGTTTTAAAAAGGGTTCAAGGACTAACGAACTTTTTAAAGCTTACCCTTGGTTTGCACATAAAAAAACGTATAGTCAATATGGGGCATTAATATTCTTTTGTTATTTAAAAAAAACACACAAAAAAGAAAAAAAATATATAAAGATTCCTGTTGTGTAATAACAGAACACGTGGCATGGGACAGTGGCCTCCTGCAGGCTCTGGTTCACCCACGGCCCTTCTGCATCACTGGTATACACACTCGTTAGCGTCCATTTATTATTTAATTAGAATGGATAAGATGTTAAAACAAAATGCCTTGGTTTCAATTCCTAGTATCTATTGTGTTGGCTTTACAGATAATTTTTTGCAGTCTTTTGCTGTGCTGTACATTACTGTATGTATAAATTGTGAAGGACCTGAAATAAGATATAAGGAACTTTTGTAAATGAGACACATTCAAAAAGAAAAAAAAAATTCTTTAATGGTTAATAGGATGAATGGGAAAGTATTTTTGAAAGAATTCTATTTTGCTGGAGACTATTTAAGTACTATCTTTGTCTAAACAAACAAGGTAAAAAAAAATTTTTTTTTTTTTTGTAAAGTGAAATGTTCTGCATGCATAATGAACCGTTTACAGTGTATTTAAGAAAGGGAAAGCTGTGCCTTTTTTAGCTTCATATCTAATTTACCATTTTACAGTCTCTGTTGTAAATAACCACACTTTAAACCTCTTTGGTTGTCTTTAAGCTTTTCTACTTTTTCTGTACTTTCTGTTTTGTTCTTGGTCTCCTGCCCAGGGCGTTTGTGGGACTCGAGCACCACCACGTTTTCCTGGCTTCGTCCTGCTCCAGGGGAATGACAAGCTGCAGGGTGTCTGCAGCTCCCTGAAGGTGTCATTCGATGCCACACGCGACAGAGGTGGTCCTGGGAGTGCGGCAGCTTCAGCCAAGCTGCCTGTTTCCCCTTTTTCCTCCGGAAGCAGACTGGGCTCCAGGAGAGTGGGACTGGGAACTCGACAGCACATTGTCCTCCCATTTTAAGAAAAGCAGATTTTCTCCCGTGGCAAAAAAAAATTCCACACTACTCTCTCTCTCAAAGATCAGCTATTTCCTTCCGATCTCGGGAAGGGATTCTGCACTCCTGGAGAAATGTATTATCATGGCAGGATTCTCTGGGACGATCCGTCTTGGCGAGATTCAGTCTGAATGGCGTGGAGACCGGGAGATAGAGGGTTTTTAGATTTTTAAAAGGTAGGTTTTAAAAATAAATTTTATACATAAACAGTTTTGGAGAAAACAAAGAACTACAGATCATATAAAGCAAGACAGTGGCACTAAAATTTTTAATTCATTAATCTGTTGGGCACTAACGCAATGTATGGCTTTTCTCTTACCCCAAATCAAAAACGTGTTTATCTTTGGGGAAGCTAACAATAGGATTGCACTAAAGAAACTACTTTGAATAGAGGCCAAAATTAATCTTTTAAAAGTGGTGATAATCATGAAGTACTCAGTGAAATCCTATTATTTTCCCAAACCTAAAACCTGTAGCTGGAGAAGCCCAAGGCCAGGAGAAGGTAGCCATCAGATCAACACTTTTTTCCAGGGTTCACCATGCAGGCAACATTACCTTGTCTTTCGGAAGACACCTGCCTTATGCAAGGGGAAACCTGTGAAAGCTACACTCAGAGGGAGGAGTTTTTCTTACATAATTTGCAATTTCAGGAATTTAATTTATAAGCAGATCTTTAAATACAGTCAACTTACATGCACAGCAATATGAAAGCCACACTCTCTGAAGGTGATAAATACACAGCATGCAGACTGGGAGTTTCTGAAAAAGAAATGGCTTGCAACAGCAGTTTTTTAGTTCAGACTTTTTTATAAAATTGGAATTTTGACGTAACCAGGTTTGGGATGGAGATGGTCTGCATCAGCTTTTTGTATTAACAAAGTTACTGGCTCTCCATGTGTCTCCCTGGTAACTTTGCTTGATTAAACAGCAAAGCCATATTCTAAATTCACTGTTGAATGCCTGTCCCAGTCCAAACTGTCTGTCTGCTCTTATTTTTGTACCATATTGCTCTTAAAAAAAAAAATCTTGGTTTGGTACAATTCATAATTCACCAAAACTTCATATAATTAAAGAAAACACTAAATTAGTTCAAAATGAAGCAATTTATATCTTTATGCAAAAACATATGTCTGTCTTTGCAAAGGACTGTAAGCAAATTACAATAAATCCTTTACTTTAATCACCTGTTGTTTTGGAAACAGTTCATTTGAATGTCTAGAGGTACACCTGGATTTTGTGCCCTTCCAAATCTTCACATGTGCTTCTGCCTACATCCAAGATGGAGTAACAGTGGTTTTTTTCCCCCTGTTAGGAAGAGGCCTGTGTTAGCCACATGTTAATTCAACTCTTTGGGGACTGATTTTGATACCTTGTCTCTAATACTGTTTCTAATATTTGGCTCACCAAAATTTAACAATTTAATAAGAATAACTTGATACCATGTAGCTGCTAAGCACCATATGTACATTGCCTCATTTATCTTCACAACCACATGAAAACATGTTCATTCGGCAGACAGACTCAAGTCCCTGGATCCCCATCTTGCCCCAAGGCTCTTGGTCTGTGTGGTCTTGTCCTCTCTCCAGCACGTCCCTTGGGCTGGCGGGAGGCTCAGCTCCCCACTGGCTGCGCCGAAGCTTCTTGCACTCCTCGTGGGCCTCTCTCCCGACTCCACTCGTTCATAGGGACCACGGGAGAGCAGTTACCAGCTCATTTTTAAATAGAAAACACTGATTTCCCACAAGCTAAATTCAAGTACAGCACATGTTTAATGTTTCATTTAACTGGTAATTGTTCACATTATTTGCTTTCAGAGAGAGAAGGCTATTGGATAGTTCAACGAATCCAACTTCAACACAGTAGAGAGATTTCTGGAACCCAGCATAGCCATTGAACACAGCATCAGAAAAGAGTTGTGGGCACTTTTACAAAAAAAAATAAATAAAATCTACAACTGAAAGCAATTTTGTATTTAAAAATTTAAGAAATTTGACCTGTCAGGGAGCAGGGCTTTCCACAGAGAGCCCCTCACTCGAAACAAAAGCCATCTGGGGGTATAAGCGCACTGAGGTTGGTGGGAGGCCCCTACCAGAGTGAACCCTTGGCTAAAGTGGGTGCCCTTTCTGAATTGAGCAGGCTCGTTCTTGGGTCAAGTATGACCTTATTTCTAAGAATTTCTAAAAGTGCTCTCAGGCCCAAAGAATTCAACTACACATTTAGGAATCATTAGCTAAGAACTAAGTCTTTGCCACCCAGTCGGCCAGCTGCTGAATGCTACAGCAGCACAAATCATGCCTCGTGATGCCTCTATAGTTAGGGGTTTGTTGGCTTCTGTATGTTGAATACCCACCAAACAAATAGAAAACATTGCCCCTTTATGTAAAAAGTCAGCTCTAACGTACTTTTTGATAGACTGTACAAGCGTACCCAGATTAAAATGACTTGATTACAAGTATCTCTGGCACTGTAATTTCAAGACATCCAGTTGCTAGTGTAGCAAGTTTCCTGGAAATAAAACACTGGCTTCCTGAACGACATTGCATAAGGGAAGATTAAGACACGATCTCAATGTTCAGCATGCATCAAGACTGTGTCCAAAGCAAAGTGAACAGTGGGACAGCGTAGCAGGTAAGTTAGCTGCTACATAACACCCTAAAACTTAGCAGTTTAGACCAGTCACCACTTATATTTCTCCATCGGTCTGAGTGGGTGTGGGGCTGTGGTCAGCCTGCCACTGTCTGGTCTCCGATGGCTTTGTTCCATGTGGCCTCTCATCCTCCCGCTGGCTAGCCTGGTCTTATTTTCATGGCAAAGCTAGGGCTCTAAAAAGTACAATGGAAAGGTATACAACACTTCCCAAGCCTCTGATTGCATCAAGTTTGCTCCTAGCCCATTGGCCAAAGCAAGTTGTAAGTAAAGTCAAGCCCCGAGTCAGCCTGAAAGGGCTGGATCCAGGGAAGGATAAAAAACTGGGATAATTAAATCAGCCTACCATTTGCAGTTCCTCAAGTGTTTTTCCATAGAATGTGAATTGCAAGGACAGTGGGTTCCAACTTCTCCCCAGTATCAAAAACCCATTTCTATGGGTCTTCATGCCCTAGGCCAGCCTGACAGAAGGAAGATCCCAGCTGCTGTGAAAACTGGCTTAGGCTGGGTCTCGTCATGCTTCTCCCCCCCATGCAAGTTGCTCCACCTTGCAGTGTTTCCTCCATTGCTGACCCTCCAAGGAAGAAGTCCAGACCCCAACACTTGGCCCTAAGCTGCCTGCATGTATCCCATCCCATGCATTCACTGCCCAAGTTCAAAGTGCAGGCTCTTGATGGGCCAAAAACAGAATCAAGTTGATGTTCAGAAAGAAAGTATTCTCCAATGTGTTCTTCTAACCAATAGACCGAGATACTTTTAGGCAGACATTAAAGCATTAGGAGAATGAGGCGGGTTGCCCAACGGAGGAAGCAATCAATCAACTGCCCAGGCCAGGCGAGGAGGAAGCGTGCTGACAGGCATCTGAGGCGGCATTTGCCGAGTGAGGAGCAGGAAAGCTGTTTGAGGACACGTTCCCAGAATGACATCCTCAGACAGGGGAGAGGAAAGAAAGTTGCATGGCTCAAGAAGATTCAAGAAGTCATGGAAATCACATGGCCAAGGAAGGAGTGACCAGACTGGCTTTGAGAGACTTGAACAGAGAACCAGCAAGAAGGCGAGAGGCCGGAAGTGAACGGGAAGGAAGACAAGTGAAAGGTGGAGGACGCCCTGGGGAAGGAGGGGAGGGGCCGGACAATGCCAGGGGGAAGGACGACAGCAGGGAACGGACTTTGGAGAAGAGACACTGGCAGGAAGCAGGGGGAGGCTAAGGGATACGAAGGGGGACAGAGATTTGTGCCACAGGGCCCTGCCACTGCCTTCTGTCTCCTCCATTCACTAAGCCCTGACCTTCCTGCCGAGCACCCTTCAAGCACCTTTCACTCATTCGCATTTAACTTCCGTAACATGCGACGAGGCTGGTGCCACTCTCTCCATGTCACAGAAGGAAAGAAACCGAAGCATAAAGAGGTTCGGTCGCTTATCTGACTGAGGACACCAAGCCACAACATAGTGAAAGTAGGATCTCAAAACAGGTTGCTGTTAAATACAAAACATGCACTGTTAGCCACTGCATGCATTTCCTGGAGAGATTGTTAACAAAGCACCTACCATGGAAGTCTGAGATCCAGGCGCCAGCATGGTTGGTTGCTCCTGAGGGCTGTGGGGAACGGATCTGCTTGGCTTGGAGACGCCGTCTTCTCACCGTCTCCATCCGTCTTTCCTCCGTGTCTGTCTCAGCGTCTGGACTTCCCTGTTCTAAGCACATCACTGTGCTCATCTTAACGCCAGTTACGTCCACAGCGAGGCCACATCCTGAGGTCCTGGGGGTTAGGACTTCAACATACCTGGGGGGCAGAGAACAATTCAAACCCATAACAGCCCTGGAGACAAGGTGGCACAGCAGGAAGAGCACGGGGCTAGTCACCGGCCCCGAGCGAGTGCTACGCTCCGTTCTCTCGTCTATAAGACTGGGTCATTCCTCCAGAGGAACTGGATCGGCTCTCACAGTCACCATAAGGAACAAACGAAGCCTCCGCAAGGGGCACAGGCACTTTCCCCTCCCGCTCCTCCAGCCGCAGACGCTCTGCGACAGAGGCAGCGGGGGCTGCGGCCCCACAAGCCCTTTGGCCCTGTTCTCACCTGGCATCTCCTCTGCAGGTGTGGCGGCTGCCAGGGAAGGCGCAGGGTGACCCCGCTAGTTGCAGGCCCCACACCCCCCGCTGTAAACAAACACCGAGTCTAAGTGAACTTTTTTTGCCGAAAGCCACCAGGGCAGCCTTCAGCAGGGGCTCAGGGACCAGCCACACCCCTCCAGCAAAAATGGCAACCGCACACCTCCTTTCTCTTCTGGGGAAATGAAGACCATCCACCAACATGAGAAACCATCTCACCATCCCATGACTAGGTATATTTTGCCGGAAGCCTTGGCCAGCCTGGTGCTCGCAGCCCACGTTCTCAGAGGGAAGCAGCCCTGGCCCTGTGGCCTTCCCCAGGTAACCACAGGGGGTCTGCAGCTCTTGGGGGCTTCGGGCGCCTTTGCAGCCATGCTGCTGTGAAGTTTCACTACTGTCACGCTGTCATCCCACAGAACACAATGGCCCTGATGGCAGGGTGCAAGTCACAGTCACAACAGTACCAACAAAGGGAACGCTTTGTACCACCTACTCGGTGCACTATTTCTATTAGGTCATGTCAACCCCAAACCTGTGGGCATCACTTCTGTTTTAGCAAACAGGAGCAGAATCAAGGAGGGGCTTGCCCTCACCCACAGGGTACCAGACTGACCTGTGACTTCTTTAAGTGGTGGTGAGAGCACGCTGGGGGCAACACTGGGTTGGATGCATGTCACTGTGAATGACGTTGATGCCCCTCAAGGAAGCCAATAAATCCAGTCCTGGTGCAGTGGGTCTTTATTTGCAATGCCCTGGGGGTTACAGCAATCAGGAACACTGCCAGGAAACCACCCCCAGTGCCAGCCTGCGCCCACCACGGCTGCCTGTAGGTCGCCTTTCCTTCAGATGGCTTTCAAAGAAGTGGGAAACACCAGCAGCCTCTTCTCACAAGCCAAGTTTCCCTTCTACACCCCTCGAGCAGCGAGCAGGGGCAAGAAATGCTAGCTCAGAAACAGGACCCTGCAGGTTCTGCCACCCGGCCCCAGGGCCCTGCTGGCCCGTGCAGCTGTGGGAGGTGGCCCTGGGCTACTCAGCAGTCTCAGCGCCCTCCACTCGGCCCATGGTTCAGTATTTCAATTATGTTGCATTGAAATTGTCATTTTTATTTACAACACAAGACACTTTCCAACAAGCACATTCCCCCATGCACACGTGACCCCGAACTCCACACCCTGACATGGTCCATGTGATGTGACTTTGGAGCTGCTAACCAGCAAGTTCCTGAATCAGTTCATCTGGGGAAGAAGCAACAGACACATCCTCCTTTATGGTACGTTCTTGAGAGAAGTCCGACAGGTCCAGGAACCTCCCATGGGGTGAAACATGCCAGAGTAGGGCCACACGGTGTCCGAATCCTCCAGTCACTGAAACGAAGCTCGACATTCCAAGGGGAGTCCCCTCCTCCTCCCCGAGAGGTCGGTTGAGCCTGTGCCCAGAGTCGGAGGCTGAGAACGAGGACGCCTCAGAGCAGGGCCTGTCCACGCTGGGGGTGGCCGTCAGCCTCAGGCAAGGCGGGAGCAGGGCCAGGGCCGAGTCCTGCAGGACTGGCCTGTGTGCCTGAGCTGCCAGCCCCAGACGCAGAGACCGGCTCCCAGGCCTGCGGACAGAGGGCCTGTCGGGGGCTGTGCAGGAGAGAGGTGCACAGGGCTGCTACCTGGCAGGGCTGGCCTCCGCCTTGCCCGTGCGGCGCCCGTACAGACTACTGGGGACGAAGCCCCAGCCCCGTGCAGCTGGCCGGAGGGACCTCCTCGATCTCACCCATCAGAGGGGGCTGCTGCTGCACCCCCAGGAGCACGCCCCGCCAGGAACACTCAAGGCTCCCGGCGACCAGATCCCACCTGCAGTGTGAGCCAGCCTCAGAGGGAAGGAAATGGATTTCCACCCACGGCTGCAGATCATAAATCCTTGCAAAGGGAATGAATTCCACCATCGCTTCCCCATATTAGCACAGACAAATCAAATAGTAAATTACATTTTATTTCATTTACAGAGACCTTGAGGCAGAAAGGTGGTGTCTGGAAAACAGCACACAGGTGAGGAGCACCGACGAGAAGCCCGTTATAAATGCGCTGGTGTGCTCTGTCTGGGCACGTGTGCGAGGGGTCCCCAGGGCGGCCGTCTAGGAAGGAGCAGGCTTGCAGAGAGCATCCCTGCTTCCCTCTCGGTAGAGACCATTCCCCCCCGGCACAGGCAGCTAGAGCCAAGCGTGCACCTTGCAACGTAACACTGCGAGGAAGCACAGTTCCCTTTAAATCTCAGCAGCAGGTGCCCGGGAGCGGGGAGGACAGGGGTCTCGGGAGTTCTGGCCGTGTGACTGCCGGTGGGGGCGGCAACAGGCTGCCCTCCCTCTCGTTCTATAGGCTAGTTAATTAAAAACCACAAGTCCTGATGCTTGATGTATGAAGAGTCCATTCTGCTAATCCTGATGTTCTTCGCCTGCTGCACAAATCTACGTGGTTCTGTGCGTCGCATCCCCCTGCCCCCCGCACCCCGGTGCTGATCACGATTTGTAATTCCCGGGAGTGGAGGTGGGAGAGTTGGGGTCCAGCCCGGGAGGAGGAAGGCAGCTCACCACGCCCAGGCAGGTCCTTGGGTGCCAGGGTCAGCGCGGCTCCCAAAGGCCCGGGCTACAGCAGTTTGACGTAGTTCTGTGGAATCAGCCCCCTCTTGCCGTTCAGAGTCCCTTCTAGCCAGCCAGGTTCCCTCGAGGTTTGCACTGCAAAGGAAGAGAAACCACTTTTTACCAAGATGCCCCCAAGCACTTGCCTCCTGGGTGTTCACTATACGGCTGGGTCTCTTAAAGGCTCAACCAGGAGTGGCCAGGAGAGAATGGGCTCATTTCTGGGATGTTCGGTCACAGAGTTCTGTACAAGGGTTACTGATAGGCTCTGCCTCGCTGGTGTGGCCACCACCATCCTCACCCACCTTCCTGTAGCTGCCTCCCGACTAGCCTCTCCATTTCCCGTCTGTCCCTTCCAATTCACTGGGCAGAGTTGCTAAGGGAACTTTGCAGAATATGGAGCTGATCACATCGTTCCCCTGCCTAAAATCACACCAAGCTTCTGATCGGTCTGGTGCACGGGTACCCCTCCAGGAGCCCTCCACACCCCACGAGTGTATCATCTGTGTGAACTGCAGTGAGTCACCCAGAGAAATCCTAACTGGGACTCCGTGCCTTGCATGTGAGCACCTTCTGAATGCCTCTCCCCCACTCCTTCACCAGGTAATTCTTCCTCTTTAGAGACCCGACTGGATGCCTCCTCCTCTGGGGAGTCCTCCTCGACCCTTCTCAGCACTCACAAGCCTCACGGGCACTGTCTGGGCACTGGCCTGACTCCCACGCTGGACAGGGAGCTCCTAAAGGCAGGCCTCGGCCTTGCACATCTGGGCACAGTGCCGGGCACACAGGAGGTGTCCATAAAGACCCACGACGGATACTTAAGAGAATGACGGCAGGCTGCACAGCAAAGGGCACAGGGTCCAAGCGCTCATCACCAGGTTCTAGAAACCTGATCCAGAGACGCCAGGAGCAGGAGCGGCAGCCGTGTGCATAAAGGAAAGAGAGGGGCGGGCTAGCCCAGCACAGCGACTCCAGAGCCAGCAACTTCTGATCACAACCATGACAACTGTTTCATACCAGAAACCAAGAACATGCCTACATGTACGTAACACACAAAATTTCCATGAAACAAAACTTACCCTCACTATGTGCAATGTCCTCTTTCTCTATTTTTCTCTACTCTTTTTTTGAATGCTGGCTGCAACTCAACAAATTGAGTTCATGGTCCATTCACATGTAGCAACCCACAGTTTGGAAGACACTGAAGATCTGATCTCAACAAGGTAAATGTTTGTTCCTCCCTACCTTCAACGTAATAAGCTTACGTTCTGGCTGTCTGGATTACCTTGGCCTTCTGTCACTGCCCTATGTTCAGCAAACTTCTGGCTTCGAGGCCTCTGTGTAGCTGTCCCCTGCCTTTATGCCTGGACAGTCCCAACTCACCCTTGAGATACCAGCTTCAGGGTCCCCTCCCTCTGGAACCCCTCCCAATACTCCAGACCAGGTCAGGGCCCTTAGTTATACATCCCACATGGCGGGGGAGGGAAGACGGGAACATGAGAGAACACTTGAGTGCATGAGCCAGACTCCCTCTCTTCTAGCCCAGGCTCTAACATGAGAGCATTTAACATACAACATGTAACATGAGACCTTGTATTCCCCAGCGCCTAGCACAGCGTCACACACGATTATCTGTGTAACGAATGAATAAGGAAATAAATCAGAGACACGCTTTCAAAGTGGTCTGGCAGCAAGTCCCTTTTTCCATGCTCTTGATAACCTTTACCCTGACACTGTTCCTCAGAGCAGGATTTTTAAAGGCTTCTCCCTTCATCCAAGTGCCCAGGCTGGCAATGCCACCTGTATGCAGCCACCACCAGGGAAATGGTCTGGATTCTATGCAGGCATTGCCTTTAGGGTTGCAGTGACGTGGAGGCCTGGGCGGACAGGGGCCCGGGGCTGAAGCCAGAGGCCTGGAGGAGACTCCTGGCTAGCTGGGTGCGCCTGGGAAATGACTCGAGCCCTGAGCCTTGCTTGGCTCTTCACTTGCAAGGTGGGGTGACCAGGACTGAGCCTGCAGGACCCACTGTGAGGAGTCAATAAAATAGTTTATTTAAAACTAACCTGCGTGTGCGCACGGTTTCTTCTCTTATACACACACAGACACACTCTCGCATAAACATAGGCCAGGTAGCAAAAAAAGGCAGGCTGAAGAGAAGTGATCTGCCACAAAGCTGGGGTGAAAGGAGGCTTGAATGGGGGAACCAAGGCCAGGCCAGGCACCCTACACAACCCACGTTCCCACCCACCACCCTCCAGAGCCCTCACCTCTCTGGAAGGCAAGAGCTAGTAGGGAGAAAAATGCCACTGAGTTAGGGAGGGCGATGGGGACTCCTCCGAAAGGCTGGCATGGGTGGGGTGGGGTGGAAGAGTCTGAAGCACCAATTACTAGGTGTCCCCAGGCACAGAAAAGGGCCTCAAGTGAGGCCTGAGAGGGTCTCCCTACCTCTCTGAAGACCTGACCACTCTTGGTAGCATCAAACCCCAGAATACCCCTCCCAGGATCCTCTCTGCACCTGGTTTATCAAACTGCTTCCTCCAATGGCAGTGTGATAGCTAATTTTATGTGTCAACTTGGCCGGGCCACAGTACCCAGATATTTGATCAAACATCATTCTAGATGATTCTATGAAGATCTGGTCAATTATTCTGGACGTGTAGATGTGATTAACAGTTAAATCAGTAGACTCCAAGTAAAGCAGATTAGCCTCCCCTATGGAGGCAGCCTCATCCCATCAGTCGACAGAACGAAGGCTGGCGCCCCAAAAAGAGGGAATTCGCCCACCTTCACGCCTGGGCTGCAGTCTTCCCTGGTCTCCAGCCTGCCGACCTACACTGCGGATTCTGGATTTGCCAGCCCCCATGATCACGTGACCCAATTCCTTAAAATAAGCCTCTGTCTCTCTGTCTCTCTCTCTCTCTCTCACACACACACACACACACACACACACACATACACACACACTGCACAACCTGTTGGTTCCCTTTCTCTGGACAGTGCTGACTAATACAGGCAGTTTCAGCAATAAGACAGCATCTCATTTGGGGGAAGATTTTCACTCCAAGAGACAGTGAATATAATGGGAATGGGGTGGGTTCTAGAGTCCCCACGATCCTGGCTGGAACTCTGGCTTTTTAATGACCAGGACTCTCAACAAGTTGCCTATGCTAGCCTCTTTGGTGTTCTTCATTCCTCAAAGAGAGTAAACGATGGCTCATTAGCAAGTGCTGGAAATATTAAAACGAGACGATTTATATCAAAGTGATGTCAGGAACACACTACATTCCCATGCTGTGTCCAAGGTAGGCAAGGGAATGTATAATATTTCGAAAGCAAAACAGCAGCTAAGTACCTCTTGCCCATCATTCATTCTGCCTGTAAATACTGAGCACTGGACATGGGCGTGGTGGGATTTGCAACCCGCTCCAGGGCCTCCCGCTATCCCTGGCACTCCCCGTCAACACCCTGCACTCCAGTTCTGTGTCCTTCTGGGCCTGTGCACCCCGCTCAGTGCTCTCTGGGGGTGAGAAAAACCAGGTATCTTCATTGTTTCTTAAATAACTTTCCTGCTTGAAAGTTGGGTAGAACACAACTACGTTGCTGCACCTAATATAAATTTAATGAACATTCACGCCAATAAACACAACCCTAAATAACCTGCTCCTGATAAACCAAAGCAGTTTAGATTTTACAGCTGAACTGGGAAAGGGTAAAAGAGGATAACAAAGGCTCGAGGCTCCCAAGCTTCCCGGCAGGTGCTCCCCACACCCAGAAGGTGCTGATGGGAAGTCATTGATGGCTGGAGTGGCCCAAGTGGCCTGCTGTCTTAAATGGCCCCAGAACTGCATGAGGACTGAATCCAGGCACTCTGGTCTGCACGGCCAGAATACCATTTTTCTACAACAGACTTTGCCTTTTCAGAACGACTCTGATCACAGCTAGTGTCATAGGTGAGCCTCTATCCTATCAGCGGAGTCGGCTCAGACCCAGAGCACCCAGACACCTCTCAGAAGAGGAAGCCAGGGGGGTCACATGAGACAGGGGAGGGCCTGGGCCAGGGACCTGGCATGGCAGCACCTCTCCTCTCCCAGGAGAAAAGGGCTATTTTTATTCATGTTATTTTTAAAGACACTTTCAGAAATCGGCATTATTTTGACAGGCTGTCACTTAGGTTTCTGGTAGCTGGATTCTGAATACTTCTGGGAGCCCCATTTCTAGCTGTAGGGCCTCAGGCTCCCACGACACATCAGCCCAGCGGCTGGCCAAGAGCTGTGACACCTCATGACCTCAAGCCCCCTGTCCCCACACCTGCTGCAGATGCTTTCCTGGGAGACAGCTCACTTGTGAAAACTTGAGGAGTATCTGTTCATTCATTCATTCATTCATTCATTCATTCATTCCCTCCCTCCCTCCCTCATATGCCATCTCAGGGCAGGGGGTGCTGCTACCTGGGCAGGCACAAATCATGTGGCAGGAGCTGCAGAGTGGCCTCTTCCCCAGAGTCCTCCCTGTGGGCATGGCAGGGGTCTGCTTGTCCATTTTTCTGGGCGGGAGACACGGCAACTCCAGTGCCATTCCTCCGTGCCCTTCCCCGTGAGCTGTACTCCGCCTGTAGGCCTCGGTCAAGTAGCCCGACTCTCCTCCAGCCTCGGAGCCATGGCCAGCCTCACGCTGGGAGGAGACCACGCACAGAGCAAGACTGGCATGGGGCAGGGACACCGGCTAGCACTGAAGACAGCAGATGTCCTCCACCGGCACTCCGGGGGCAGGAGACGAGAGAAAGGACGGAGAAGTGAACTGAAGACAGGTTTCCTCACTCCCAGCCACAGTCTCCTTGCTGGGGGACAGAGTTGGTCACCCCAGGAGGCTGTGGGAGCCAGCTCATCTGACACCTCCGAGACACGCAGGCAGGAAGTACGGCAGTCACCCGAAGCACTGGGAGCACCAAGTATGTGCCAGGAACGGGGTGGAGCCCACACCACAGACCCTGCTCTGCCACTTAGCAGCTGTCCAACCTCAGGTGACTCACACATCCTCAACCACCTCATGTGTGTCGTACTAGTGCTCCCTGGCATTAGGGGAGTTTTTTAATTGT